GGGATCGCCCCGGGGTCGCGTTCCCAGTGTTTCCACGAGCCCATGTTTGTGCAGTCATGCTGGCGCTGCGTTTTGTAACTTATTTTTATGACAATAAACCTGCCCCCAGCACACGCTGTTTCCTGTCTGACGCCCCTTTATGATCGGGCAGAGGAGTGGGCAGACCTGGCCTTTGGAGAAAGCCCGCGCACGTCTGCGTCGAGAGCCGATCTCCGTGGGGAGGACTCGCCTCTGCTTGCTGCTCTCAGAGGGGGTGTTGGCGCCCTCCCTTTCAGACACTTGGCCACTCGAGAACCTTCATCCTTTTTGAGAAAAAAGTGCATGGTGCTTCTTTTTACTAAACCAGTAACACACACCCCGAGCGAAGGAGGCGCCCGCCCGGGCCTGGCGTGTCTGCCCGAGTTGGGGCCTAGATGTTGCTGTGAACACATTCCAGCCCCGTCTGCTGGGTTCGTCACCGAGTGGGTGAGTTCTCGAGGAGAGCGGCGTCTCCAGGGCCTTCCCGCTGGCCCTGCTGCAGGTCACCTTCTCTGCAGCGAACGATGCCAGAGACGCCGCCTTCGGAGATGGCCAAGGGGATGGGCGGTCCCGCCTGGTGTGTGCCCAGACACTCCCACCCCCACGGGCGTGGGGCCCGAGGGTGAAGGACTTAATGATGGAAACAACAGGGAGGGCCAGTGTGGCCCAGCAGCGTGGCGTCCTGGGAGCTCAGCAGAAACACACATTCCCAGCCCAGCGGAGCCCGGAGCGACTGAGCCGGACGCCCTGGGTGGGCCCCGCAGCTGGGTAAGGGACCCCCAGGTGACTGGCGGGCTCCGGGAGGAGGGGGCCCTGCACTCAGTGGACATGAATTGGGAATGTCCTTCATCTGTTCCAAGGGGCTTGGCGATTCCTCCTGTCTTACCGTCCGTCACGTGACAGGCAACCCCTCCACAGGGTTCCAGCAGCAGCGCATGCAGCTCCCTGACCTGGGCGTGGTCCCTTCTTTCCCCTGAGGCGCTTGTGTGCGGCTTCGCAGGAAAATGCAGAATCGAGGACACTGGGGAAGTGCATCGTCCCCATCCCCCCCTCACCCGAGGTTTCGCTTTCCGCAGTTTCCGTTCCCGCCGTCAGCTGCGGCCCGAGAATATTAAAGGACCCGCACGGCACTGCATGTGACTTAGTTATCGCCCGCCAGCTCCGCATCGGCTCCGGGCCGGGAGTCTCACTGTCACCCAGGTGGGTGCACGGCGTTGCCCCCGGGTGTGCAGGCGGCCCGGCTGGAGGTCCCGCCAGGTGCTCTGGGCCGCGCGGAGATCTCTGCCCGCGCCTGTGCCGCCCAAGCTGGTGCGCCCAGGCGACCGAGTCGGCAGGCACCCACCAGGACAGACAGCGAGCGGATGAGCTGCTGAAGTTTGCCCAGGTTTCCTCCTGCACTAAACTGGGAGCCGGCCTTCAGCTGGCGGGTGGCGCTTTCACACCTCACCCGCTGATCTTTCCGTGTGAACGCACACAGGCTCCGTCACGCTCGCGCTCGGAGTGTCAGAGTGGGGGCCTGCTGCTAAATCCAGAGCCTTTGAAGGTCACCCTTAAAGGGACGGCAGCTTCAGCCGCCAGCGTAAGGGGCGGGAGGCATGGGAGCGTCAGGGTCTGAGGATGGAGGGCAGAGTGTAAGAGTCCGCTCGTCCCAGCTCCCGCATCCCCGCCAGCGTGAGGACAACTCGGGCCTTCCTTGTCCTGCACTGGACAGGAGAGGGTGTGCCGGTCCTCCCACCTGTCCCCCCCCATCCCTCTCCCCCCTGCAAGGTGCAGCCGCCCCTTCCGGGCTGTGCAGAGCCGCCTGCCGCCAGCCTCGGCTCGCCTGCTCGGGAATAATGAGGCTTCACTCTAGGACAGCAGGCCTCTCTCCCATCTCTGCCACCCTTCCCTCTCATTCCCACCCCCGCTCCTTAAATTAGTGGAAAGGAACCTCAAACAATGACTTTCCAGTTGGATTTTAAATTGCAGGTCAGCTGCTTCCTGTTATTAGGACGTGAAGCGGGAAACCGTAAAGTTCACGCTCAGCCCAGGTAACGCGGCGGGCGGCTGTGGGTGATTAGTTGCTCCAGGGCCGCTCCAGCCTGTCTCTGTGCTAATTGAGTCTGAGATTCCAGCTGGAGAGGGGCCGTCCTGGGGGGCGGTGTGCGGGCTCGGTGCGAACCGCAGCCGGCCTCGGCTGCAGCTGCTTCCCGTGTCCACAGAGACGCCACAGTGAGGCAGGCTTTCCTGGGGAGAAGGGGCCGGGAGGACGGGGAGAGGTGGGAGCTGGGGAGCCGGCCTGGGACCCCGCAGGCTTCACCAGCCCACTGCGGAGTGGATTGTTACTGGATGCATTGCTCACTGTCATCGAATGCCTGGCTCTCACCTCAACCATAGGCTTGCTTTCTTAATTACAAAAGGAATACATATGTTCCTTTTATAGAACATTAGGTAACGTGGCCCGGCCGGCGTGGCTCAGTAGTTGAGCGTCAAGCTTTGAACCAGGAGGTCATGGTTCAATTCCCCGTCAGGGCACATGCCTGGGTTGCAAGCTTGATCCCCAGTAGGGGGCATGCAGTAGGCAGCTGATCAATGATTCTCTCATCATTGATGTTTCTGTCTCCTTATCCCTTTCCCTTCTTCTCTGAAATCAATAAAAATATATTTTTTTAAAAAGGAAATTAGGTAATGTGGATAAACACAGAAAGAAATATAATATTCATAGTCCCCACCAGAAGAGAGAATTACCAGGCACTTTGGTAGCTTTCCAGACCTTCATACGGACACGTTTGTGTGTGTGCTTGTAAAAAAGATCCTACTGTGTACCATTTTGAAACCTGCTTCTCGTCCCTGGGCAAAGACCTACCTCTAACACAGAGGCCCCAGATGTAGGGCTCACACAATGTGCACACTCACTTCTCCTTCTCTTTGAGCCCAGAGGAGCGGTTCAGACCAGACGGCCGCTCGGTTCCATGCAGTCACGCAGGGCCCTTCCTCCCGCCCCGTTGCACCGCCTGTGGCCGGGGACAGGGTCTGCAGGGTGGGACTGAGTCACGGGCACCTTCTGAGCTTGCAGACGGGGAACAACAAAGCCGTCGTGAGCACGCATGTGCAGGTTGCGTGAAAGGCAGTCTTCGTTTCTGTGGGGCGTACATGCCCGGCATACATGTGCTGGGTCATAGAGTGAGTCCATTTTTAGTTTTAAAAGGAAATGCCAGTCTGGCATTTCACATTCACACCAGCAGTGTCTTCACCAGCATTTGGTATTGTCGCTCTTTATTTCAGCCGTCCTGATGGGTGTGGAGTGACATCTCATTTTGGTTTTTATTTCCATTTCTCTGCGGGCTAACGATGTGGCCCATCTCTTCATGTGCTTCTGCGCCATCTGTAGGTTGTCTCGGGTGAAATATCTGTGCATGTCTTTTGCCCATTTTCTAATTGGATTTTTTTGTTGTTTTTTAAAATGTGTTTTTATGATTTTTTTTTTTTTAGAAAGGAAGAGAGTGATAAAGAGATAGAAACATTGATGAGAGAGAACTATCAATCGGCTCCTCCTGCACGCCCCACATTGGGGATCAAGCCCACAACCCGGGCATGTGCTCTGACTGGGAATCGAACTGGTGACCTCTTGGTTCATGGGTCGATGCTCAACCACTGAGCCACACCGGCTGGGCTCGATCGTTTCTTTAATACCGAGTTTTGGGAGTTCTCTGCATACGATTCCTTTGTCAGGCGTGTGATTTGTACATGTTTGACCCACCTGTGGCTTGTCTGTCTCTGCATCCTCTTATGGGCTCCTTCTCAGCATGTTTTCACTTACCGATCATTCTTTAGGTGTTGAATCTAACGTTGGTTGTAGGTAAGCAGTGTTCTGCTCTTATGAACATTGTTGTGTGCACACGTGTTCTCACAGGCAGAGCAACCTGAGGGACAGGCCTCCCTGACCACTCGCTGTCCACGTCCTGCCCCTGCTGCCCCCTGGCTGCCCTTCAGACCACCCATCTCATTGGATGTTAGTCATTTGTTTACTTGTCATGGCCATCCCTGCCACGAGAGGGCCAGCTCCGTGAGGGCAGGAACTGGGTCTGTCTTGGGCATTGCTCTGCCCCTTGCACACAGTAGGTGCTCAATAAACATTTGCCGAGTGTTGACTGGAATTAAGGAAGCCAGGCTCAGGTCTCTGCTCTGCTCCCAAACAGGTGACTGGGCCGGTTGCTTGATCCCTCTCAGCGTGCAGTCTCCGCCTGGGCATCCAGTAGGGAAGTCCTGTGAGAGATCACACCAAATTCTCACACCGCAAATCCTTCCTGTGCACCTACTGTGTGCAGGTGCTAGTGCCAGCATACAGTCAACATCACATGAGAGAGGGCAGGCAGTGCGGGGTCGGTGGCATCCCTTGCAGGCACACGCGCACGGATGTTCGGGGAAGTGGTCACAGTGTGGGGCGTGGTTCCTTTTCCACGTGGTCTCTGTGCCACCCACCCACCTCCCACCTCTCCTTGTTCGCTCTGAAGAGAAGATTCCGAGAACTGAGTGGGAGCTGGGCAGATGTCCGAGCAGCCTCAGCTGCGCATCCAGACCATCTCAGGCGCAGGGATTCAAGCACCGTCTTCGGGGCGGCCGTGCTCCGAAGGGACTGCAGTCGCGGGCGCCGCCCCGGCCCCCCATCCGACCTGCATTGCTGTGGTTAGAACGTGGCCCTTTCTAGTCGTGGCCTTTTGATATTTGACTTTGCACTCGACCCCCTG